TGTTCCCGGCAGAAGGCACAGCAGCACGGAGGGCCAGGCCACAGCATGGCTGAAGCATGGTGTGGGGTAGCAGGACACAAGGCTGATCAGGAGGTTGGAACCCCTTGGAGTAGTGTGGTTGGGTAGTTAAGGCCATGGACTCTTAGAACCAGACAGGCTGATTGCTGATTGCACCTGAGAATGCTTAAAAGTGTCAAAACTCCCTGGGCAAAGATCACCTAAATTCACTGAGATCTACAGCTGAAGACAAAGGGGAATAATAATATGGCATTAGTTTCTTACTGCAGCTATAACAACTACCACAAACATGACAACTGATTACAAGGAAGGTACCAGCAGCACTATGTGTCTTCTAGGGAGGGGGATACCTCCGGTGTTTCTTGGTTTACGGCTGCTCCACTCCAACCTCAGTTTCCATCGTCCTACTTCCTGTCTGACTCTGCCTCTCCCACCTCTCTCTTATAACAGCTATCTAGATTGCATGAGAGCCACCCACACTGTCAGGATCATCCCCAACCTCAGGATCTTCAACTCACCACATCCACAAAGTCCCTTCTAGCAGCCACAAGTTTTAAGGATTAGGGTACGGTTCTTTAGGGAACCATTATTCTTCTTACTACATGCATGTCCTTCAACAGGTGAGAAAGATTAAGTGAGATGATGTGTGTGAAAGCCTGGTGCATGTGCCTGCTCGTGTACTGTTCTTACAGAGTTGTGAATCCACTATAAAGAGCTGAGAGGAACGGGAACAAAGTGGAGATGAGATCAACTCCTCTTAAAAATGTTAGAGGTTTTTGCCAGGCCTTGGGAGGTTGGGCTGGGCATGTAGCTCAGTGTGAATGCCCTAGGTTCAATCCCACTACTGAAAAAAGAAAGAAAGAAAAAAAGGAAGAAAGAAAGAAAGAAAGAGAAAGAAAGAAAGGGAGGGGGGAGAAAAAAAAGAGAAAGAAGGAAGGAAATCTTGTTGGAACAGCAAAGAGAGAGAGGCTTGAAGTTGTCTTTTTATAAAAATGTGGAAATTAACCATTGTTTGACTGGCTCAGCTGCTCTTCTTTGGTTTCCTTACACTGGTTTGGTTCACAGTTTGACCAGATTTTGTCTTGCTTCTTTGTTGCCTTGAGCCTGATCTGTTCCTTTCCACCTGCCCAGAGTCTCTACAGCTGAAACCCGGGGAGAACATCTGTGGGCCGGGGCCCAAGCAAGAGGCCTCCCCTCTCCAGATGTACCCACTGTAGGTGGCCTCTGCCAAGGGCACCTGGTCCTTAGAGTTAACCTTGTCCTGCAGTCCCCAGTTTAGTACCCAGTACTGGAGAGTGGAAAGTTGGATAAATCTTGTTCCCTTCCTGGGCAGCAGGAGCTCTTAACTCCAGACCCACCGGCCACAGCAGAGGAACAGCAGCCCCTCTGCAGGATTTGTGCATGAAGGGATGTAACCTTTTCTAGGGAGGGGTCATAGTTTTTACCGGATTCTCAGATGGATCTGTGAACCCCGAACTTTCCCCAAGCACAGGGAAACATGTCATCGCGTAAACTCTTGCTCCTCATGGATCCTGTGGTTTGTTGTTTAGCCAGCTCTGGCAGGCACGTGACCTGGTAGAGGCAGGCAGAGGCGAATGCTGCTTCATCTTAGTTGGAGAGGCTCTTGCCTGCTCTGGTTTTTGAGGAATATAATTGCCCAGCAGAGCCATATAGCATTGTCTCTTCTGCTGAGCTCCGCTATGCAGACCCACATTCATTATGTGGGGGTTTACATACGGAGGCCCCGGGGGAGGGGATGGCCCGGCTCCACTCCAGATGCACACGGTCCCCCTGGTCATGCCCTCTATTAGAGCATGGCTGGGCAGACCCTTCGGCCTTTCTCCTGGAATTTGAAGGGATCAGGATGAAGGCTGGAGCTTAGATTTTTGAGCAGAGGTAATTTCAGAAGGTGGAATCATAGCTTAAGGAACTCTCTGGGGAATTTTCCTGATGCAAAGCTAACAAGACATTGTGATAATTTCTCTGGAGCTGGCCTCATTCCAAGTTGGATTTTAAACGCAGATTATAAAGCAAACACCATCCCCCACAAGTATTAAAGGAGGGGAAAATAACAGGACGGGGGCTGCAAAAATGGTCTCTATTGTGGGACCAAAAGCCGTCAATCATGCAGGCTGACAGGCGTCAGAGATTGACAGACAGGCCCTCGCTCCTGACTTCAGTTATCAAGGGGAATGGGAAAAGTGTCTGCAAGAACATGTTAAATTGCCAAAGTCATTACCAGTCACCAATTACCAAAGAAAAGATAACAAGGTGTATTTTAGAAAAATCGATGCAACAACATGCATTTCAATACAGTGAGTTTTTTAGAACTTTCGAAAACAAAACGAACTATTTAGGGAATACACAATGGTTTTCAGTGCATACCAAACACTGGGCTTTGTAAAGTCATCAATATTCGCTTTAGACTTGGCTCTGCTTTAGGGGAGCAGAGATCAAGCAGTAAACTAATATTCTTCAGTTTTTCCCCCTGCATTTCTACCAAACGATGAAAGCAGGACTGGAGGGCCAGGCGGCTGTGCTATAAACTCCCACAGTGAAAGGCCTGCTGGCCACTGGGGGCACCTCCTGGGGTCCAGGGCACAGACGGGGCACAGGTCAGGCAGGTGTTGATGTGCTGAGGCGCTGTGGGTGACTGTCCCACGGGATGCATCCGGCCGAACTTCCTCATCACCTGTTCTGAGCCCTGCCTTGAGGATGAAGAGAGAGAGGACAGAGTTGCAGCCCTCTGTTGGTGGTGAGAGCGGGGACACAGTCCCACTGGATGAGAGCACAAAGAAAACGGATGAGCATTACCAGACAAGTGAGCATGAGGAACAGGAGTGGGAGGGGCTTCTGCAGCCTGGAAGAATCAGGAGTCTGGGGAGAGAAGGGAGTATCTGTGCTGATTCTTAGAGAATGAGGAGGGTATCTGTAACTGGAGGTGCAAACACCTGAAAGGAGGAGAGTGCAGCCAGAGAAAAGGAAAGACCCCGAAGTAGGAGAGAACACTGAGCCGACAACTGTGGTGAGCCTCAAATGAAAAGCTGAGGTGCTGGCTGCTTTGCAGTCAATGGAGAACCACTGCAAACTTTGGAGTTGGGGGATAGAATGGCCCAGAGTTGTGCTTAGAGAGACAGCTCTAGCAGCAGTGTAATGCACAGAGGAGAGGAGGGCCTTTTGGGGGCTGCTGGAGCACATCCATGAGAAGGGCAGAAGACCCGAACAAGGGTGGGAGAGCCAGTGGGCCACCATCACACTATCCTGCACGCACAGCGCTCTCCTTGGTCTCTGCCTCTGGAAACTTCTCACCCTCCAGGTCTGCTCAGACACCAAGTGCTGCCCCTCCTCTGCTAGAACATCTCGAACATCTCCCTCCTGACCAAGCTTGGTTGTCACCATGGTATAGTTAGGAGTTCTGCTGGGACAGCAACCCTGTTGCATACATCTCTGTGGCTTTTCCAGGATGAGGTCCAGGCCCCCTTCCCAGCGGAGAGAAAGATGAAATAGCAAAGCCTGGTGTGCAGAAGCATTTTATGGTAATGTTCAAGAAACTCTAGAGCTGGCATGAGTTTGCTCAGTGGATCATTCTTTCTCAACTTGAATACAGTTTTGGGAAAGGATATTACGTGACGTGAGAAAATGAGACTTACAACCCTTCCAAATCTCGCAGTTTGAGCAGCATCTGGAGACAGTAAGCTGTGGGAGCCCAGGAGAGAGAGGGCTGCTGGGCCTCAAGCATGGGGAGTAGAAGTGCGTGTGGTCAGCAATGGAGGAAGGCAAAGCTTTCTCCGTAGGATTGGTAGGTGGCATGGCCATATTATTTTCCAAACAGGGACACCTTTGAAGGGGACAAGGGCACTGTCAGTAATTGCTGCACGATAGCAGGCTTTACTTTGGCTTGACCCCGAGAAAACAGTGTGTAACTACCGTAGCGAGGGGCACTGCTGCTGGCTTACTCTCTGCTCCAACGTGGATTCTCCGTGTCTTGCAGGCACGGGAGCAGAGACCTTCCCTTGGCCTTTTCCTTTCTCTCCATTCTCCTCCTCCTGCCCAGGACGTAAGTGGCTGGGAATTTGGAATGAGGATGGAGTGTGGTTGGCCCCTTCTAGGTTTAGCTCTCTAATGGAGCAGCGGTCCTCAGCATCTGGGTGTTTTCTCTGGCTCCCTGTAGGCAATTTAAGGAGTTGGTCTGCCCCGGTGGAGGGAGCTGTGGTTATCGCATTGGTTAGTAATCGGATGGAAGGAGAAATGTTAAGGAACTCGATTTAACCATTGAGTCTGTGACTTTAATGAGCTTTAGCAAAGATGGACCTGGTACTTCCAACTCTCTTCATCCAGTCCCAGGATCTCTTTCTTGGTCGATTCTGTACTCAAAGCAGAATGTGGCTTTCACTTTCCAATCCCAATATCCATCTTAAACCGAGTCTGGGGATTTTCAGATTTGGGGGGAAATTCTCATACCAGAGAATATGAACGATGCAGGACAGAGTGAGACCAGGACTTAAACCTGACGGAAAAAAAAAAAAAAAAAAAAGAAAAGAAAAATCTGGGCCAAATTTGTTTTTGCATCACTATCTGGGGGTGAGGTTCCACCAGTTTCTTTTGGGAAAGACATGGAAATTAATTATGAGAGCCCCTGCAATATGTATGTATTTTAAAATAAGTTTCACCGAGGTAATAAATTTAGTGTACTAGAATAAATCAGTTTGAGGTTTGGCAAATGTATACTCCTGTGTCACCGCCATTCTGATCAGTGTATAAAACACTGTCACCTCTCCCGAAGTCAACAATAAGAATGACCGGTATTGCTGGGTCATACAGTTAGTGTATGTTTAAAATTGTAATAAACTGCATAACTGTTTTCTAAAGGGCCTGTGAAATTTTACTAGAAAATTTCACATAGAAAATTTATGAGAGTTCCAGCTGCTCTAAATATTCTCTAACATTTAGTAATTTTTCTTTCCTTTTGTGTAATACTACAGATTTAACCCAAGGCCCTCACACTGAGTTATATCCGGGTCCCTTTTTCATTAAGTTGTTCAGTTGCCCGGGCTGGGCTTGAATTTACGATCCTTCCATCTCAGCCTCTTGATACTGGGATTATAGGTGAGTACTTTAACATTTCTAATGCAAGCTACTGTGGTACCTTTGAGTAGCACTTCATGGAGGTTTTTATTTGGGTACCAGGGCTTGAACTCAGGCCCTTGTGCTTGTGAGGCAGGAAGCAGAACCTCTAAGCTAAATCCCCGGCCCTCATGTAGGTTTTAATTTGCCTCTCTTTGGTGTCTGATGATATTGAACATCCTTTTGCTTTTATTGGCCACATTTCACATTTTCTTTTGTGAAATGTCTGTTCAAATATTTCATCCATTTTTAAACTGATTTGTCTTATTGAATTTTAAGAATTCTTTACATATTCTGGGTACAGTTCTTTAGTTAATAAGGTATTTTTATAGTCTATATTTTTACCATATATGTTTTGGTCAGTGAACTACCTGAACTAATTTTTCCATATAGCATGAGGTAGCAGTTGAGGTTTACTTTTTTCCCCTAAGGGCACTTGATTGTTCCATCACCATTTGTTTAAAAGGGTTCTTCTTTCCCCCATTGTATCACTGTAGCACATTTGTCAAAAATCAACTGAAGAAGCTGGGTGTGGTGGCGCACGCCTGTAATCCCAGCACTTGGGAGGCTGAGGCAGGAGGATCTCTGTGAGTTCAAGACCAGCCTTTGCTACATAGTGAGTTCCAGATCAGTCTCAACTACATACTGAGACCCTGTCCCAACCCCCCCCCCAAATCAACTGAACGTATTTGTATAGATCCATTTCTCAACTCTATTCTGTACCAGTGACTTATGTGTTTATATTTATGCAAATACCACATTGTCTTGATTACTATTAGCATTATAAGTAAGCCTCAAAATGAGGTAGTTAAGTCCTCCAACTTTAGCACACCACACCATATATCACTTGTGATTGCTACAAATAAGTGTGCTTGAATTAAATGTATAATAAATCGTATACATTATCCTTTCTTAGTGTGGGTTGTTCAATCACTCTCAATCAATACATTTGTGGTATTCAGACAATCCTGAGCTAAATGATTCATTTGGGTTTTGCAATAAATAAAGACTGGTGGACTCTGATGGGTTCCTTGCCATAGCAGTCTTTTTATCAAGGTGTCGGCTCTTCCTCACACTACCACACATGAAGTTGTCAACTATTAGCTGTTGCATCAAAATGCCTGGCAAAAACAGCTTAAAGGAGGAAATGTTTCCTTTTACTCACAGTTTCAGAAGTGTCAGTCCATGGTCAGCTGGCTCCATTGCTGTAAGGCCTGTGGTGAGGCAGAAACATCATGGTGGAAGGGCGTGACAGGAAAACATTTCACCTTGCGATAGCCAGGAAGCAGAGAGAAAAAGAGAAGAGCCGGCTGGTAAGAGGCCAGGGACCAGAGAGAATCCCCAAGGTAAGATCTTCCTGATTCAGCCTTTCACTTAGGTCCCACTTCCTCTTTCATCATCTCTCAGGGATGCCATCCAATTATGATCTCATCAAGTCCACTGATGAAGTTACAACCCTCGTGTTCTAATCGTTCCCCAAAGACTACCAGCAACCAAGCCTGCAATGAAATGAGCTTTTGGGGGACATGGTGGATCCCGACTATAACAGCAGGATGTTAATACATCTGCTGCCTAGTTCCTCCAGCTGTGATGTAGTGGAAAAAAAATCTTTGGACAAGTTAATTGCACAGTGCCCCTCTCTGCATTCACCACAGAGTTGCCTGGCATTTTCACCCATGGCTTGAAGAGGACTAAATTTAAAAGTCACCCACAAAGTTCACAGACGCTCTGGCTCCTGGGTGGGTCCATTGCCTAGTGAATCTTCTGGTATCCAGCCAGGAGTTGCCCTCAGATGATGTCTGCCAGTGCCCAGACATAGAACACAGTACATCCTCATCAAAGCTGGAACACCCACCAGGCCTTAGCTGGAGATTCAAGCAGTATCATTCTATTCTAAAGAGACTGTCTTTTTCAAAATTCAATTGGACTCCTAATCCTCCTACAGTTCTTCCCCCACCCCCACCCCAGCCTGCAGCCACTGTGTCTCAGTTTCAACTTGGACTGCAGAACAGATTTGGAATCAAGAGCTCGGAGTTCAAGTTCTGGCCAAGATACCTACTAATAGAATAACCATAGACAAAGCACTTTATGTTTCTAAGCATCTAGTTCTTCTGTGGGACAGACTCCGCCATCTCCCTCACAGTGCTACTCTTTGAATGTGAAAGTATGTTGGCAATGTAAATTACAAGGCAGGAATCCCTGTAGAGAATTATTAGTATTCTAGGGCCAGGGATTTAGCTCAGTGGTTCCGCTGCATGCCTTGCAAGCGCAAGGTCCCAAGTTTAATCCCTGGTACCAAAAAAAAAAAAAAAATCATTAATTTCATTTCTCCTGTTAGCCAAAATATAGCTAACAGAGGCATGAAAGACATCATGGTGCCTGAAGGAAAAGTAGCATGTATATTAGTTTCCTATAGTCACTATAACAAATTCTTACAGAATTGGCGGCTTAAAACAATAAAAATGTGTTGCGTTACAGTTCTGAGCCAGTTTTCCTGGGCTGAAGTCCAGGTGTCAGCGGGGCCTTTCTCCCTTCTGTGGCTGGGGCAGAGTTCATTCCCTGCCCCTCCAAGCTCCTGGTGGCTGCCAGCATTCCTTGTGCTTGTAGCCTCATCTCTGCCTCTATCTTAATGTCACTTGCCCTTCTCTTGTGTCTGTGTTTCCTCTGTTTCTTCCTAAAGGGACACTTGTGATGGCATTTAGAACCTGTCCAGAGGTCAGTAGCATCACCTCATCTCAAGACCCATTATTTAATCACTTGCGCCATCTTCACCAGATAGATGGATGGCACACACAGTTTCCAGGCACTAAAATCTGTTATCTTTGGAGGCGACATCACAGGGAGTGTGTGTATTGGTGAGTAAGATATGGAATAGGAAAGAAAAACGTATCTCCTCTGTCCTGTTGATATAAATCACTTTCCAAGACAAAACAGCCTATAGTAAGTCTAAAGGACCTTGGTGAAAGTTGTCCCAAATTCTCCCCTATACTTCCAGTAGACGAAGAGCCCAGTTAGAGATGTGCAGAACTCTGGGGTTCCCATGCCTTTCATTATCTCTTTGGATCCCGGTCTGCTAACTACAGACCCGTGGTCCAAATTTTGCTCCTGCTACTTTTGCCGAGTTCAGTGGTTATAACAGAGACCATGGGACGCACAAAGTCTAAACAATTTACTCCGTGTCCTGGACCAGTATCTCCACCGCACAGATAGGAAAACTGAGGCCTAGGAGGGCAGGTGATTTTCTCAAGCCCCTTCCAGTGCCTAGGGGCAGATTCTAGTGCTCTTGCTGCAGGCTCCTCTCCACTAGAGCTTGCTATTCCTCAGGCTTGTGATTGGTGGAGCTCAAAGCCCCAGAAATCAGATTCAGGCAGCTCTCAGCCTCCAAGAGGGGAAGACCCGCTAGCAGGGGCTACACCAGGCCCTGGGGAGGTCCAAGCAGAAGCTGAGTTAACTTCAGCAAATATCCCCAGGGCCCCTGTGGGGCCTGGTGAGTGCCCGAGTGGTTAATGAAGTGAGCCATGATGTGATCAAATATGGTGCTGTGCAGGCCTGGAGAATTCTGCAAGCCTCACTCTGGGACGACAGAGAGATGGACTTTGTGTTCAGATCTCTCACCTGAGGCCAAATGCGGGCTTATCCCCAATTTACCAGGTCCTAAGGGCCCACAGGAAACCACCCGAGAGTGTGCCGGAGCTGCAGAGTGAGGAAGTCCACCGGCAACTCCCGGAGAGGTGGGGAGGCACAGTGGGGCCTTTAATGATGACTAATTTGCAGCTTATTAATGCAGCGGTAATTAAGAATATTCATTTTATTAAAAGCCGTTTATTGTAACAGTGCATGCAAATCTGGAGACTGGCATTGTGCTCACGTACCAATCGACATAGGTCTATTGTGGCTCTGCGGATGGCAGGTCGCTGCGTCACTAATTGTTAAGAGTTTAGGGTCTAATTTTAAACCCTTTTAATTCCATTTGAAATAATTGCCCTAATGAAATTCAAAGTACTCAGAGGCAACCACAGAAAAGGCGAACGGTGCCTCCGCCTCCTGCCCCCAGGGAGCTGCGCTTTGAGACTTGTGGCAGGAGCTGTGCTTGTCTGGGGCTAAGCTGGCTGCTCTCTCTTCCTGGAAGAGGAAGCTGCTCTGGCTGCCTAGTGAAGGCTGGAAAAGCCTTCTGGGGGCCGGGTCCCTGTCTCCAGTGTGGGGAGGAACCAGCCCAGGTGGAGAGGGACTGCAGGAGAATGATGTCGCTCAGGATGATTTGCTTCTGTGAGCCACACAGGGACAGGATCTGCAGAGACCTACGCCACCCCTCCCATCCAAAGACAGGTGTCCTCTGCTCCAGGGACACCACTGACTCTCTGGGTCACGCCTCAGACTGGCTGACCCAGGTATCATCTTCAATACAATGTAAAAACTTTTATTTTTCAGCATCTAGCCCATGGTCTTTGCACTGAGCTACATGCCCAGCACTTTTTTATTTTTTATTTCAAGATAGTTGCTGAGCTATCCAGCCTGGGCTCAAACTTGAAACCCTCCTGCCTCAACCTCCCAGAGTGCTGGGGTTTCAGCCTTGCACTGTCACATCCAGCTAGAACATAGCAACACTTTTGGAGGGGTTCTCGCATGGCGGGTGTCCTACTGTACAAGCTTTGGCTGACTGAATCCTCACAGCCACTGTGTGGGGTGCGTCCTTTATTCCATTTTACCCGTGAAGCAACACAGGCTGGGAGAGGATCTGCGCCTTTTCAAAAGTCAAAAGGTTAAGTGGCAAAGTTGGACTTTATTTTTTAAATTTTAGTTTATTAGTGCATAATGCTTACTACATTCTTTGTGGGCAGTTGGTACATTACATAACATATCTTAACTCTTTTTTCGTTGCCGTTCCCTTCCTTTCTGCATCCATCCATTGATCTCTGTTCTGCTTTTGTACATGTTTGCAGTACATAATGTTTACATTCCTTGTATAGAGCGGGCAC